AGAAAAATCATGAGACACAAGTATATTCCACGAGAGATATAATGTCATTATTCTGTACCACCTCATTCAATGGGTGCAGACTCATTATTATTTGGAACCACACCAAAGGCACATAATGCTCACATCGTAGTAATATGAAAATTTCTTCATGAAAAGTATTTCCATGTAATGAATATTGAAATTCCATGCTTCAACAAACACTTGAAATGTCTTCTCGTCTTTGATTATCATCCTCAGAATGTTTGCAATTTGTTACCAAAGAAAACATATTCGAAAACATTTTCGCGAGGTCTATTCAATTCCAAGAACTGAGGTTCCGAATCCGAGAACGATGACGATGACAAACAAGCCAATCACACTCGATTTTCCAGGAATTTCTAGTTTTCACTATTAGCTTATTCTGAAGAATTGAACTCACTTCAGCAAAATCAACGTGTGTTCACAATACATTTATATGCAAACACAATGGTATAATTCGCTATAATCGAATCTATCGCCTGATAGAATGACATACGCAATTATATTATAATTTTGTACAGGGTGGGCCAAATTGGACACTTTTGAAGGGCAAGTCCTATTTTCGTACTAGATAGAACGAAACTGATGTCGGTGCCTGTTGATCAATTTACATGACAAACTCAATGGTTAGAGTCAGAGTTACACGATGTTTTTCAAAAATATGAATTTTTGAAAAGTAGCTGAAACTATTTTTCGTCGACAATTCTTCGTTTCCAAGAAAAAAAATTTCAAAGCATTGTGTTTGTCATAAAAATTGATCCTCAGGCACTGAAATCAGTCAGCATATACCTAGTTTCGAAACAAAACTTTTCCTTCAAGAAGAACAAGTTATATCTTTGAGCAAGATAAAGGAAGGCCGATTTTAGTGCCCCAGGAATGATTGTTATCACAAACTCAATGCTTTGCAGATATTTCTATGAGAACATACAATTTTCAAAAAAGAAATATCTCTTAACGAATTTTTTCATTAAGTACATCATCTATCCGCGAAAAAGTAACGAATTTATGCTGGTTCATTTCAGCATTTTCAGCTCACATATCTCATTGAAAAAGTGAATATCTTTGGCCACTTTTGCTCGGTTTGTGAAAATGTGATTATTGCCTTCAATTGGAACGATGATGAAGTAATAATTGGCCAGGGTGTAAAAGTTGCCATATGGATTCAAGTTAAAAAATTACCGTTAGACGTTTTCAACTAGCTCGTCCTCACTTGGTTTCTCCTGCTTTGTTATAACTGAACTGATGCTCTTTCAGTGGGCTAGAATGATTGTATGGTTTCAATGAGTGAGTGAGGGTAGTAGGCTCTGCAGAGTGTGTCACGAAAAGAAACTGCATCAGTGATCTTCTTGCATCTGCTTTATGATACTATTATATGTAATTCATTCATACAAACCAAGTTGAAAATTTTGTTTACTTCCTGAAATGACAAATGATGTCTACATATAACTTTGATAAGGAATATTATCAATAATACTATATTCTTGAATTTGAGTTCTAATTCGGGAAATATCGAGAAAGGTCACTATTTACGAGGTCATGTGACTTCCGTTTTCTGTCAGGAATACATTCCATTGGAGGAATAGTTAGTTAATGGTTCGTCGAATTCGAGAATATTTGGAGAAAAAAACATTTCATAGCTACTTCTAATGTTTCCAAGCAAATCAAATTTGAAATTAATTGCTACTGTAGGATGCCATAAATATTGGTTAGATACGCACGAAAGTCTGATAATATGTTCACTGATGACTTTGGTATTATTCTGTTGTATAAATAAAGTGAAGAAAATCTATTCAAATCATGAAAACCGTCCATATTTCTCGAAGTGGAACAATTGATTTTTATAAAGAAATAACAATGCAAGTCTCAAAGTCTGTCGATAATATACAGGGTGTTTCCTAATTGAATGTCAATATTTGAGGAGGCGATTCTTGGGCCCATTTTAAGAAGGAAATTTCATATGAACGTATGACCTAAACGTCTTAACTTTTGAGATACAGGGTGGTAAAGTTCTCAAAAATAAATAGTTTTTTATTAATATCTGTAATACCACTTTGAATATTCTAATGAAATTTGGTATACGTGTACTAGGTATCAAGAGGCATCAGTTAGTGTACCACATTTTTTTTTGTTGCCACCAGTGGCGTTCGTATGGAATTTCACATACCTATTTTGGCAGACATTGATGGTACGCCACTGATTAATCTCGAAATTGAAATAATTCTTGAGATTCTCAATCATTTCTAAGCAAATTTGATCTCTACAATTTTTTCAATCTGATGCAGGGTTTTCGCTTAAAAAAAATAAAAACCTCTTCACTGCATGATCATAACAATATCGTTAATATGACAATACCACAATGCAGAGAAATAGATTTTATTTTTTAGGTGAAAACCGTGATTCGGACCGAAACAATTCAAGAGATCAAATCTGCTCATTATTTTAAGAAAAGTCGATGGCATGCCACTTACTGTCTAAGTACAGATAATAGGTTAATTGGGTGGCCACTGGTTAATTTCAATAATTTGTTTTTGTGAAAGATGTCAAGAAAATATCTAGTCTTTAGTCACCAATTAGTGACCACAACCACACTATGTACCTAAATGATTTTGTTAGAAGACTGTTCTTTTCTTTTACACATTTAATGGAATAACATAACATTCTTCAACAACAAAAGATAACTAATAAACGATTCTTATTTAAAAACAATACCTACTATTAATAATTTTAACAGAATTATAGAACATAGAAACTAGATGAGTTGTTGAAAATGGCCTCCACCTTGAAGGATACACGCTTCAGCTCTTTTCCTCATATTGTCACGCACTCTTTGAAGTATACCTCCAGTATTTCTTATTAAATCGAATGCAGCTCTTATACGATCCTTCAGCTCTTCTAGAGTGTTCACTGGGTTGCGATAAACCAGACTTTTAAGATGCCCCCATAAGAAAAAGTCCAAACTATTCAAATCTGGGGACCTAGGGGGCCATGGTTGAGGTCCGCCACGACCTACCCATCGATTTTCAAATGTGTGATTTAAATATTCCCTTGCTGCAACACTGAAGTGAGCGGGCGCGCCGTCATGCATGAACCACATTCTGTTTCTAATTAAAACTGGTACTTCTTCTAGCAATATGAACAATTCCTCCTCTAGAAACCGGCGATAATTATGGCCGTTTAGCCTTTCTGGCAAGAAAAAAGGTCCAATTAAGTAATTTCCAACAATTGCAGCCCAGACATTCACCGAAAATTGTTCTTGATGGTTGAATTCTACAACTGCGTGAGGGTTTTCGTCTGCCCAAATATGGTTATTGTGAAAATTTCTGATTGCGTTTCTGGAAAAGTTAGCTTCATCTGTAAACATTATTTCACGGTCAAACAAGGGATTATGAGCAATTTTCTCCAGAAACCATTGACAAAAATTAACACGCAAGGGAAAGTCTCGGGGAAGTAACGCTTGGACCCGTTGAATATGGTATGGGTATAATAGAAAATCGTGCAAAATTCTCCAAACTAGGACGTGCGAGATATTCAGATTATTTCCAATTTTTCTAGTACTCAGTTCAGGATTTTCTTCAATGGAATTTAAAACTGCTTCTTCAATTTCTGGAGTTCTTACAGTGCAATGGGCTCCTTTTAATTGATTATTCGCCTGCAAAGTACCTGTTTCAGTCAACCTCCTATGTACATTTGCAAATGTTCGCCTATCTGGTATTACTCTATTAGGGAACCGCTCTCGATACAATCGCTTAGCTTCCGGCGATCTGCCATCAGCCAAACCATACATGTAATGCATATCTGCCAACTCCTCATTTGTAAACTCGACCATTATTTTTCAAAATAACAATGCTCGAATATTTTAAACACTAAATTAATAAGACGCGAAAAACTGAATTTGAAAATTGACGAACTGTCATACAAAATAATGACAACTGTCTTGACCATAGAATTAATAATTCTTACAGACACAGCCTACTACAATGAAAAGTAATAATTTCAAAATACCAAGTACGAATACGAAGTTCATAAACTATGAATTGTATTTCTGAAATTTGACCTAAAAAATAAAATCTATTTCTCTGCATTGTGATATTGTCATATTAAGGATATTGTTATGATCATGCAGTGAAAAGGTTTTTATTTTTTTTAAGCGAAAACCCTGCATCAGATTGAAAAAATTGTAGAGATCAAATTTGCTTAGAAATGATTGAGAATCTCAAGAATTATTTCAATTTCGAGATTAATCAGTGGCGTACCATCAATGTCTGCCAAAATAGGTATGTGAAATTCCATACGAACGCCACTGGTGGCAACAAGAAAAAATGTGGTACACTAACTGATGCCTCTTGATACCTAGTACACGTATACCAAATTTCATTAGAATATTTAAAGTGGTATTACAGATATTAATAAAAAACTATTTATTTTTGAGAACTTTACCACCCTGTATCTCAAAAGTTAAGACGTTTAGGTCATACGTTCATATGAAATTTTCTTCTTAAAATGGGCCCAAGAATCGCCTCCTCAAATATTGACATTCAATTAGGAAACACCCTGTATATGAACTGTAACTAGTTTCGGCCACAAGCCATCATCAGACACAGAAAGGATGTATTCAGAAGTACATGAGGAATAATTATAGACATTATCAAGGACTTCCTTTCAACTCCTTAACAATGTATATGATTATCTTCTAGGTACTTCTGAATACATCATGTTTGTGTCTGATGATGGCCTGTGGCCGAAACAAGTTACACTACCTATATCAAATAATTTTTGCGTGGTCGACTGAATTTGGAACATTAATTGTTTTTTGTTATAGAATGATCTATTCAATCCTGAAATGTATTCAATAATATGAATAGAGGTCACGTTCAAATGGGACATTCTTCAATTTGAAGAAACTGAAGGCTGGAGCTAATTTTCAGAATAATGAGTTTTTACTATTCCAACTTTCCTGAGGAAACAGATTCATTGAACTAATTATGTATTTTGAAGGTTCTGTATCGACCAAAGCCCCAGCTACTAGACCGACGAAGGCAACCAACAAACCCACAAAATATTCGGTAACAACGAATAAACCGGCATCTTCAACTGTGAAAGTGACGAAGAAACCCACTTTCCTCACTAAACCCACCAAACGGACAGCAGCTACTACCAAACGCAAAACTGTTAAACCTATAACAACCTCAACAACCACAAAACCACCTACAGTTACAACAGTGAAATCTTCAAAATCTACAACGAAGACAACAACATTTTCAACTATAACAGAACCAAAGGTGACAACAATGTCACCCTCTCCAATTGATGGTAGCACGAATGATTCAACCACATTGGCGCCAATAGAGCAGACTACCAGAATACAAAATGAAACAACGACCAGGCAACCTGACTTGGTCACAACTTTGTCAAATGAAGTGACCATCGAGAAATCAAATGCGTCACAAGTTCTGGAAACGGTTAATGGTAATCCAGCAACTAATGAAATTGAAGGAGGTCGACCAGTCGAACCAGTAGGACCCCCTGTTAACAGCGAACCCACTGATAAACCTGGAATAGTAACGTGGACTATGACAGGAGAAAAAATCACACCACCAACGCCACAACCGGAGGTTGAGTCTAATATAACTAGTGGTGAGTACTTATTACCAATATGTTTTTCAACCTAATACCGATATGTAATCTCGGATATTATGACAATGATTTGAATTTCATGATGAATTATCTCACCAGATCTGTGCTGTAATTACTGTCATACTAGTGCGATAGGGTGAAGTAAATATTCGTAGAATATCCACTCAGATTTCTCAATCGAATAGTATGAAGAGCTCTACCACGAGATAGAAACAGGTGATGAATAATTATCCATTCTGAACAGATAAAACGTATCTACCGATAGTAATTCTAGTTATTAGTAGTAGGTATGATATTGCAATGAATTCGTATCGTCAAGTAAATTCATCTATCCACTGCATCCAAATTGATCGTCTGCTGCCTCATTTATTGTCACAAACTTGTCAATTTCTTCCCACGGAAGGAGAAAAACATCTTCCGCGGGAGGTTAAATGAATTGACTTCAGCTTGCTCCTTTGGTAGAGATATACATATAAGATCTGTGATGCTTTCCAAATACTTCATCAGTGTCACCATCACTACTATAAAACAAATAACAATTTTCTTCTTGGCCTCCACTTTGATAGAATAAAAACTCATATTTGACAGATACGATTTCATTGTTCGTTTGAACTCATTCATCTTTGTTATTTCAACTCGATATGGCAGTGCATCATGAATATTGGAATCTGAAGATTATTTGTGGTATTGATAGCCTATATCTAGGAATTCAGATCTGAATTCTCAGTACACCACACTGTTTTACCACTCACCAAACCGATTCATTGAACGCCTAGACCCGCGTTTTGCTAACTATGTTAGCATCTTCAGGAAAAGATAAAAACAGTGTATTGTATTATCGTGCCAAAGGTTCCAGTTTTCGATATATCGAGAATTCTTAGTGCTATGATGGTGAATATCAGCCTATGTAGTGATATTGGACGATATTTCATGGATTTCCAGAAGTAAATTGTAAATATATAGAGCCGAATGAGTCCTAATTTTGAATGTATTGAATAATTATATACAGGAAGCTCAATATCCTACATTACCCAATATTATAATCGCATTTTTTATTGAATAAAAATAAGCACTTCCAGCTGAAGAATTACCCCCACAGTTAAATTGTACTGGATACGATTTCATTATTTTGAAAATTGTGAAAGTGATTTGAAAATCACAAAAAATATCATATTTCGTTATCCTGTGTATTGGAAAAGACGCTTCCATTCATATATGTACACGAAATATGTTCGTTATGGAAATTTGTGTTCATCAAACTATCGAAGTCCTGTTGAAATTGAAACTGTTGAACGGCAGTATCGCGCAGTTGCTGAGGCGATCTACTAGTAATCAGAACATCGCGAGGTTGTTAGGTTTCAATCCCCGGCATAGTAGAGAATTTTTATTAATGAAACGAGTTATAAATTCCAATCTTCGTAGCCTCGACTGGAGATGATTTTGCACGATTCGCTATTGCGTTTCAATTAACAGTGCTACTCCTAAGGTGGCTTATGAAGTTAGTTACATAGCCTGCACAGATCACACATGTGCTGAATGATCTCTCGTAATGTCGATGGCCAGTTTATCATACATACAAACGAAACGAAGTACATTGAACGGGTGCACGCTGTATATACGAATGAACTGGTTTACGATTAGTATATCGCGTATTTCACATTTGAATGCACATAGCGCTCGAAATTATTTATCATCAATTCTCTTTGCATGGATTGTTTTCACTCTCACATATATTTTTACATAGACATATATTTCATGTTTTTGTATTTTAACGATAGAGTAGGCCTGTTGGAGCTTTGATCAAAAATGGTTTTTTTTTCGTTACAGAATGGGTACCAATAACAACACCAGATGGCTGGGTACTACTTCCTAGTGTAGCACCAGTGAATTCTCCTGATGGAAACAAAACAGATTCACATTCGACAACAATTATTCCTCTAGAAGTACAAACCGTACTACAATCATCATCATCAACTGCATCTTCTATGCAAGAACCATCAACGGAGTTGCCAGAAAGACCAACCGAGCATGCATTCACTACTATTTTCCCGAGTATTCTGAATACGACGGCGGTTTCTGCACCAACAGAAGTCTCTGAGACAGAGTTGCCTAGTTCTGAGTTACCATCGACAGAGAGTCCTCCCGTGAGTACAGCAACGACGTCAGATATGAGTAACATTCCAGTCAATATGAGCGATTTCACTCATGGTGAGTTACAAATTGACCAATTCCATCACCAAACCGCTTAAAAAAAATAAAGACCATAAACCTACAAACTCGTCGATAACTTGCATTAATGAAATTTATGATCTAGATATTATGTTGCCCCCTACTAATTTTTGAACTACCTGGTATATATATAAAAAGTACATATTTGGTTTGAGGGCTGAGGACTTCATTCCTGACCATATTCCATACAATTTTGAAAACTACCTGAAAAAAAAAATTAATTCTTAAAATATGAATTATTCAGCTCATGATGAAAAGCGAATCTAGAACTCATTGTTACTACCACAACTCATGAAATGATGAAACATACTTGAACAGGAGAAACAATGGACTCTGATAACCATCAACGAAAGGCAAATGAAATTAAAAGATGCTCAGTCGGATGGTTCTTGAACTTTCAAGGTAAATCCTCGACATCGAATGGTCTCGACATCAACTTGAAAATAAAACAATTTGAAACGAGTTTGCATTTATTCTTGACTGCAACTAGTGGTGTTTCAAATGAATAGTCGTATTCAGTCGTTTTTATGGAAGTGTCGGATATTCTGTGTTCAGTTATGAAGTGAATAATTTTGAGTTATTAACGACGGGTATACTGCCACTATTCAATGAGAACAGTCGCTACATGATATTATTATATCAGTAGCATTCTTCGATAACAAAAAATTCCATGTTCATGTGTAACGTTGTCGTTACAGTGCCCATCTGAAGAATAATTCCTCTGTAAACTATTGAATATTCGAATATAAAGATGATGTTGTACTTGCCAGAAATGATTTGAAAATGGAATGGCGGCGTAACGCCAAAGTTCTATTGAAAAATTGGGTACCCACAAACCATTCATGAAATATTCCTCTAGTATAGAGTAGCTCATGTTGAGAATCCATGTTAAGTTGCATGACATCGTTTTGATACAAATTCCGGACGAAAAACACATGTTTAAATAATCATCAATACAGTTCATGTTCAGGATATAATCCATGCCTGCTCTCAGTTCCAGAGATCCCTCTTCGACGATGATTGCCTTATAACAATTGATGACACATCGATATCCATCAATTCCACCTGATATTCATTGAAATAAAATATGATCAACGTAAACTCAACCCTTTTTGTTATGATAGTGTGCGGAAGACGGATGTTTCCCGAAGCAAGGATAGTAGGCGGTGAGAAATCTTCCTTCGGAAAATGGCCCTGGCAGATCTCTTTGAGGCAGTGGAGGACATCGACGTACCTACACAAGTGCGGAGCAGCACTGCTCAACGAAAATTGGGCTATCACAGCTGCCCATTGTGTTGACAAGTAATTATTTTCAATTAATAATTGAGGTAGAGGTACACTGAGAGAAAGGTAGATTCACTGATTCTGCATAACGATATTTCAATTTCATAGGGTCTTTTCTTTGTTGAATGAACAATGAATAGAAGCATAGATTTGATGATTCAGAGATAATAACTATCATGATAGTTTTACCAAACAATTTCTTCAATAACGTCATTAACTGTGGTCTAGAATCGGCGAAGTCGGGTATTCTACACGGATCCTTATAAACTCAGGCTATCTTTCATTTTACTCGATCATTTGGGATTTTCTCTCCTCCTTTCCATGTGATGAAAATATGAGTACTATTTCAATCAGATGTTTTTCCCCATAATGATTCTGCGTTCACCATTTTTTTTCAATTAGGGAGCTCGAATCAAAAAATCCAATAGTTTGTCAGTGACACTTTGTTAGGAATTATGTTTGAAGAAAAGAAATATATTGAAACAATTTTTACTTATCTATGGATGATTTGGAAATGAATCTGCTCCTGTTCTTTATATGAAAATGCAAAAATGGAAGTTGTGCTCTAATAGTTTCACACTTCTAACAGGAATCATGCATTATTGCACTTTGGGAATACTTTCAATATTTGTGTTTATCATATAGTGATAATACTCCAAGTTGTCATCACTTTTAGTTCGATATCATCAAATCATGAATGGAAAGGGAGCATGTTTCGGATCTATAAAGGATCCATCATCAGCCGATTGAAGAATCATTCTACAACAACGAACAAAGCATTAATACAAGGGTATCAATGGTGGAACAACGTGGAGAAGAAAACATTTTTGGAATCAAATGGAGTTTCAAAATTATTTTATCACAATTCAAAACAGAGAAAATACGTTTTTTCGGACAAGGTTTCTCAACAGGAGCCCTGTGCCTCGATGAGCTAGTGGAATCGCCAAATCAGGAGGCCGAAAAACGTGACCAAATGTCAATGTCAAACCCATCTCTGACAGACAACTGTACCTTCAGCTGTCAACGTTGATGCAAGTCAAGAGACAATTGGTTCAATGAAAGTCATGACAAACTTGTGGATGGGGAAGTTAGGATATAAAGTTAGTGGAGGGACAACCTAAGATCAATAATACTATAAGAATTGCGATGAACTCACGCTGGAGACCAAAGCAAGAAGGAGCAATGAGACAAAAATTAAAAACTCAAGGTATTGAAGAGTTTTTGGCGATCGAAATCGAAAGATGATTTAATCTCAAAAATTTCCCTTCTGGCAAATGTGTAGAATTTTCAAATCATCAGCCAATGGCCATCCACAATATATTGGTCAAACTGGTAGAAGATTTTTTACGAGAGTGAATAAACATGTAGTGTTAATAGAAAAATTCAGAAATACTATTATTGACGAAAATTCCGATACCCCAAGTATACATTTGCTGACCATGTGCTTATTAACTCAACACTCATTCAACATCAATACTGATTTAGAAATTTCACACATTCTTCAGAAGGGTAGCTTGCTGAGGCTGTTGGAAATTTTTCAGATCAACTCATCTTCAAAGGACAAAAATATTCTTTCACTCAATGAACAAATCCATTTCGATTGCTAAAAACTCAATGCCTTAAGTCTCTAATGTTTGAGTTATTGTTTCTTCTTGCTTTGGTCTCCAGGGTAAGTTTTCCTTCTCAAAATTCTCATAGCATTGTTAACCTCAGGTTGTCCCTCTGCTATCTTTATATTCTAACGTCTCCATCCACAAGTTTTTCATGATTTTCATGAGACCTTTTGTCTCTTGTCTTGCATCATTGTTGACAGCTGAAGTTATAGTTGTGTTAGAGATGGGTTTGACATTGACATCTTAGTCACATGTTATCAGTTTGATTCAGCAATATCAAGATGAAAACGTTTTTTCATTTGCGGTTGTCTTTCGGCCCCCTAATGTGGCAATTCCATTGGTTTATCAAAGCACAGGGCTTCTGTTTAGGAAACATGTTATAGCACAGGAATTTCTTCTGTTTCAAATTCTTATAAAATAATTCTGTAACTTCGTGTGACAAAATGTTTTCTTCTCCACGTGAGTACTTCTATGTTGATCACTATCATTGTCTTTTGTTCTTTGTCGAATTATTTCTCAATCGGCTGATGATGAATACTGTATATAGATCCGAAACATGTCCCCTTTCCATTTATGATTTGATGATATTTAAGGTTGTGGAGTATTATCACTTTATGAACTACTTCACTCCACTCTGAGACAACATATACTTCTGCAGTAGGTTATTTGAATCTATACTGAATGGTCGAGTTCAGTTGATACAACTGATACCAAAATACTCTGATATTCATCACCAGGATATCTACTAACATGAAAAGTTTCATGGTTAGGTTTGGTGGTTTGAATGGGTTAAAGTCCGAATTATACTTATTTCATGAAGAAACTATATTTTGAGCATATAAATTTCGTACAGTTAGGGCGAAAGTTAGGTTAATCTTGCCCGAAAGATTGATACTGTTTTCCATCATTTGCAACCGGGAAGCATATCTTGCTGCTATGGATTAATCCTTCAATTTGTCGATGAATCAAAAGTTTTCGGCAGAACTCCAATAATCATGCAAACAATAAAAATGACATTGATGAACTATGCGGTTCGTTGTTATCGACAATGTATAAAGCTGCCTTGTTTGGGAGGAACATTCTTCTATTGGAACTCAACAATGTTTCATTTCAATCGGTTGATCGAAAATGTACGACATGACTTGATGAGAAATACGAAGAATGGAAATAAAAATTGCTCAGATGAACTTCCTTGAATCTGATCAAATTCTCCTGTGAAAATGAGACATTTTCTTACCAGGAATCTTTCGAAAACAAAATAATTATTCAAACTTATCATAGGTGGTAAGCCTATCCAGGGTAGGTGCATATACATTTGTGACCTTTGTCATTAAATTCTCAGATTACATAAATCATCTTCAGCACTCTCAGACAATCTCACAAAGCTGGAACAATGATAATGATTATTTTCTCTATGGTGTGAAATGCAAAGTGGTTAACAGAACCGCACGTAATTTATATACGTTTCAGCGATTTCACTATCATCATACCATCAAAGATCTGAATAACGTGAGAGACAACGCGATGAAGTTTCACAGGTGAATTGCAGAGGCGGATCTAGAAATTTTCTGAGAAGTGGAGGCGATTCCGAAATCATTTGAGTGTGAACCAAAGAAGGGCAAGGGACCCAGAAAACAGTTTTGCAAAATTCGTTCGGAGTTAAAGGTCAAAAATGCCTTCGAATTTGAAATTAGATCTCTTACAAATTCCTCATTTTGTTTTGATTGATGAAGAATATCTCAGAATGAAAACTATATAAAGAGCAAGCAAATAGAATTACCTATAGGTGTACCCAATAGGTGAATATTCATTGCTCGAGATGTTTTTGCGATTTTCAGTCCCATGTCTTTCAATGGAAATATTGGTATTATCCTTTTATATTTGAAGTGAGGACACACAGGGTGTCACTGCTCATGTCTATCTAGGGAATTAATATCTGAGATTTATTTTTAGATTTCTGAAAATGATGTTTTTTAGACGCAGTGCCATATTTCGACCATCAACCTGATTTGTCCTCACTACAATTATATTGGGATTATCCAAATTTCAATTCATAGAAAGTATAGGAGAAGAAATTCCAAGAAATCTTGGAGAGAGAAAATCATTTCGATAGAGAAATACGTATAATTAAGGAAATCTACATGAGTATGAATCAAAGAGTATCACAATGATAGTAATGATGTATATCGTTGAGTGTTTCATAGACAAAAAATGCATCTTCGCCCCCCAGAAGAGGAAGGCAAGACCTCCTCCGCTTCCCACTGCAATGTATATCACTCAAAATGACATCACATGATCATACAGTGTATTTTCGATATTTATCTTGGTCCTGCGAATTTCAGAATCCTAATTCATAAATTAGGTAAGATACAGAGGGATGCTTCCATCACAAATGAGACACACTGTACATATACCAATCCCCATCATGATACATCATCAAACCAATTCAACCTGTATCATTGCATTTGATATATTCGATTGAATGATTAGCTGAATTTGATTCGCCAATATCGACGCTTATAGGGTGTTCCTAAAAGGTCTGTACAACATCCCAGTACATTTTCTTGAGGTCAAAATGAGCCGATTCAAAGCAATCAATCTCAGTCCGAAATGGCTCCGATACAGGGTGATGAATTCAAAAAATGGCAAGAAAAATCCGAGAAAGTATTTTGGAAAATCAATTTTCGCACTGACAAAATAACATCCATGAAGATAAAAGCAGACAGTAGTCATTCAAAATAATTTTATTTTTCTGGTGCAACATCGACCACTAAAAACGAAATGTTTCTTCTAATGAATATATAAGTATGATCCTTTTATATTTGTAGTAAGGACACACAAGATGCCATTGCTCAAGGCTATCTAGAGAGTCAGTATCTGAGATTACTCTTTTTTATAGATTTCTGGAAGTGAATTCATTTCAACACTATTTTTTGACGATCAATCTGATTTGTCCCCTCCAAAATTATATTCAGATATTAATCAAATTTCAATTCGTAGAAAGGAGAAGAGGAAATCCCAATAAATCTAGGAGAGAAAATCATTTTGATAAAGAAATATCGATCATGAAGAAATTCCATGTGATTATGAATCAAACGGTATCTCAATGGCAGTGATGATGTATATCTTTTAGTGTTTCATTGACACCTACAGAGAGATTCTCAAAAAATGCATAATGACGTCTCTCAGGACAGGGATGCGTGACCTACTTTGCCCTCTAAGGGAGGGAGGCGAGACCTCCGTTGCTTCCCCCTGCAATGTATATCACTCAAAATAACATCACTCGATCAGAGAGTATATTTCAGGTATATGTATATCTTGGTCCTGCGAATTTGAGGAGCCTAACTCAACAATTACATAAGATACAGGGATGCTTCCATCACACAAGTGGAACACACTTTACATATACTGATCCACATCATGATACATCAAAAAACCAATTCATCCCGCATCATGGCATTTGATATCTCCGATTGAATGATTTGCTGAATTTGGTTTGCCAATATCGACGCCTATAGGGTTCCTAAAAGGTATGTACAACATCTTAGCACGTTCTCCTTAGGTCACAATGAGCCAATTCAAAGCAATCCACGTCAGTCCGAAGTTGCTCCGATTTCGAGATACAGGGTGATAAATTTAAGAAATGACAAGAAAACTCCGAGTGTATTCAAAAATGAATCTTTACACTGCTGGGTCACTGACATAATAACATTCACGAAGATAAAAGCAAACATTACTCATTCAAAATAATTGTATTCTCTGATGCAACATCATCGACCACTAAAAACGAAATATCCTAGAATCAGCTTACTCTAATAGAGGATTTTTACATGTGTATCTTTCTTGCTTGAGGATGTTCAGAAAGTCATTTCCACAACAAGAAAGTGAAAAACCACACTGAGAAAACAGTTATGACCCTTCTGAACCATAAGAAGTGCATTGGTATGCACCCTCTAATTTTGATTTTCATCCTTCAACTTTGCTACCCTGTATCTGAAATGAGCGATTTCTGAATGAGGTGAGTTGCTTTGAATCGGCTCATTTTGACCTCATGAATAAATGCTAACAGGTTGTACACACATTTCAGGGACACCCTGAATACATTTGCAATACCACGAATGCTTTCAAGATTTGCCAGTTGAAACTAGAGTCACTGGATGGTATCAGTTTGATAAGAGTTCCGACACCGCTGAAATTTTGTCCTTTTCTATTTTCTATATTACAATGGTTTAAGTGAATGAAAGAATAACACATATATTCTGTTCTTCGTTTTTTCAATTTCATCAGTAGGGCCTGATTGTCAGATAAGCTTCCAGAGGTTAGATTTTCTCTCAGATCAATCATTGTCGTAGATAGAAAATAGAAATAGGGTATGAACACCCACTTCAATATAAAAAGTGATAGTCTTTTCGCAGAAAAATAGTCATAAAAATGAAAAGAATTCATGTAACAACAATTTAATATGACAAAATAGACACATATATGGATGATAAAACATAAAGATTGTTTTGCTCTACCACATTTTGCTGCATTCACTTCTTACTAATGAATTTTGAATTTGGTCAATAATGAAAACGCCATTCAATGATATTGTATCACGTTGCAATTCACTTGATTTCCTCAGTTTTCTTTCCAAGAGTTTAATTTCATGAAGTAGTTTTGCAACACCTACTTCAATATAAAGAGTGATAGCTTTTTCGCAGAAAAATAGTTATAAAAATGAAAAGAATTCATGTAACAACAATTCAATATGACAAAATAGACACATATATGGATGATAAAACATGAAGATTGTTTTGCTCTACCACATTTTGCTGCATTCACTTCTTACTAATGAATTTTGAATTTGGTCAATAATGAAAACGCCATTCAATGATATTGTATCACGTTGCAATTCACTTGATTTCCTCAGTTTCCTTCCCAAGAGTTTAATATCATGAAGTAGTTTAGCAATCAATTCCTCTTTTTCTTTGATATTTTTTTTGCATTTTATCTGATGATAATATTGGATTTTTTTTCAATATTCTGTTTTGTAAATCTTCTGTTTGAAAATGGGCCAAAAATGATGTTTCATTTCAATCTGCTGTTATAAGGAGTAACATTTAATATACAAATTTTGCTTGTCTCCGAATCAATTTTTAATCATAGCCGTTTCATACATTCCTCCTATATAGGAGAATGGTTGATATCTCCTTTGGAAAATTGAAGGAATTGAATCGTCATTTCCTTCGGAATTCCTGCAATTCATTACACAGCAGGACATTTTGATTTGTGCATTTTTCTTAATAGTTTATGAAATTATATTTCAATTCTGACGTTCATAAAATTCATTGTCAAATTCGAATAATTTCCAACAGGAAACGCCTTTGATGCTGTTGCCACAAGCCAAGGTGTGCACTTACAAAATCTAAACATTCAAAAACACTAACAGTTGTAATTTCTCTGTCCGAACTCTTATCTAACTAATACCATTCAGTGACTCTAGGTTGAAACCACTTTCCGAAATGTTGACTCATCATTTCTAACTACATTCATAGAATATTATTTCGTCTCTCCTATCAACCGTCTCGTACATTTCCATTCATCTCTGCCGGTTATCGATTGCAGCGTCCCACCCAGTGACCTACTTCTGCGTTTGGGCGAACACGACCTCTCCACCGAGTCTGAGCCGTACCTCCACCAGGAGCGCAGGGTGCAAATCGTGGCGTCGCATCCCCAATTCGACCCCCGCACCTTCGAATACGACCTGGCGCTGCTCAGATTTTACGAGCCGGTCGTCTTCCAGCCCAATATCCTGCCGGTGTGCGTGCCGCAAACCGACGAGAACTTTGTCGGCAGGACGGCCTGGGTGACCGGATGGGGAAGGTTGTATGAAGGTAAGATCGAGAGTTTTTCGTCTCGAGTTTCAGATAAGAAAATATTCACGCTTGTTTTGTAATACTCTTGAATTCTCGACACTTCTTCATAGATATTGAAATATCACAAACTTCGTATAGCGCATCAATAATATAACACTGTTAGTAGTAGTAGTGATAGTAATATTGTAAAATGGCTACTATCAGGTGAGTAAACTCTCATCAATCCTTTCTACCACCTTTCACAAATGGTTTAGATTATACATAACAGGTATAGAAGCCAAATTGTTAAAAGGCCAACTCAGTCAGCTAAAGCTGAAATCAATACCGAAGTACCACAAGGATCAGTACTAGGACCAATGCTTTTTTCATTATATATAAATGATATGACCCGTTTCAATTCCATTTATTCAATGAAAACATTTTCACAATACAAGGTGTATAAACAAAAATCTTCTAAAAGGGAAATTGGACATGATGAAAATGTAAAACATACAATGAAAACACTCAGATACGCCACAGAATTACCCTCCAAGGCAGCCAATTTGAGCCTCGCCGACGATTTTTGTCTAGCAACCCTGATGACAGTCATGAGAAAGCTGACTCCTATGAGGAATGAGGGGTGGGATAGATGATGGAGAGTGATTGGGATCCTAAAGACTAATTTCGTATCGGCAAATAGACTAGATTTGTTAGCCGATAGGCAGCTAAGTTGTTCGGGTCCTGCTCCATGGTAATGCTCCGATAGTCGTTCAGCCAAGCCACATAGCGTTTCGTCTATACGGCTCGGCCAAACGACTATCGTTCTCGTTCAATTCAGCTTTTCAGCTGTTTGTGATCTAGAGTTGAGTGGAGGGAGGAAGAGTTATTCAGGGGGTTCCTTGAATACATCGCTGGCCTCATATATCAGCCCATGTTTCCTACGGATGCCATGATCTGCCCTTATTCTCGTTATATCTCTTGTGAGTTCGCTATTCTGAATGTGGTGTTTATAAAATTTATTTGATACGTTGATGATGTAATCTTTAATCAGGGGGCGGATCATGGCATTGAGCATGCATGTCAGCCATTCGAGTGTATCTTTTACCGTTAGTAATGATTCGGAGTACCTTGTTCTGTAGCACCTGTAGCCTATTCAGTTCAGTGGCAGAGGCGCTACAGAACACCGGACAAGCGTATGTAATCATAGGTCTTATCACATGCATATGCAAGAGCAGTTTGTTATCCATTGTTAGTCTGGAATTCCTAACCAACAATGGATACCATTGTCTTATGGCTGCATGGCCTTTACCAATTAATTTGGTGATGTTATCTCTGAAGCACATACGCTTGTCCAGAACTACTCCCAGGTATTTCACTGAGGTGTTGACCATCACCCTCGAGTCTTTGATGAGTAAAGGCCCGTGTATAGTACTGTTGGTATATTTTTTAGTGAAATTCATCTACTCAGTCTTCTCATGATTGACACGGATCTTTGCATTGTCAAAATACGGTATGATTCTCCTGTCCTGATGGATCTGGATCTGAGTCCTGGCGACGTCTATGTTGCTGTTCAAGTGGACTGTATAAATAATAATTCGAAATGAAATTGTCAATAGTAAATTTGGAATAGGAACTTTCTTGTCAACTTGAGAACTTGAAATCTAATCGAGACTGTGGTTTCCTACCTTTGAAATCTTGTGGCTGCATGTGATGTTGGGAGTTAAGTGGAGTTATATCTTTCCAGCGCGGAAGTCACGAATCGAAATCAGTGTCACTTTTACATACATAAAGTATCTATTCGAGCGAGCGATCAAATCAGAATGCTTGATTCTTGGGTTTGTCGATGGAACTTTTCGACAAACTCGTTATTACGAGGGGCGTTCGAAATTGACGCTTTCAGAAACCACAGTAATATCGCGTATAATAAACTCAATATGATTAATAGTAATCAGACAAACACAAAAAAAGTAGGTGAAGACGGAACAGTCTGAACTGTACGAATGTACGTATACTGCCGTGTCATCGGCGTACAGTGCAGTACTCGTACGTTCAAACACAGGAAAATCATGAGTATATAAAGAGTACAACAAGGGTGACAAACACGACCCCTGTGGAACACCTGCCTTGAGTGGCTGACTTGTTGAAATTGAATTATTGATTTTGATTTTCCTATGGGCTAAATACGAGTCCACGATCTTCACAATAAATATCGGCAGCTCTGCCCTAACCATCTTGGATATTAAACCTTCATGCCATACCGTATCGAAGGCTTTCTCGATATCCATCAGTACCATAACCGTGTTTTCATCCTGATCAAAGGCTTCTTTTATCCCGTGAGCAATCCAGGCAACTTGGGACATTGTGTTTTGCCCCTTTCGAAACCCGAATTGCTCAGGAGGGATCACACTCAGGTTTTCAGGCAAGGGTGATGATCATATAAAGAAGGGTCTTATCCACCACCATAGCTATCATGCTGAGCAGCGATATCGGACGGTAGCCGCTGACCTCTATCGATATAAAATGATGATTCACTTCATTTGCAGACGATAGTACAATACTATGGCGTGCAAATAATGCGTCTGATCCTCATTATTCTATTTGTTGGGACAAATAAAGAATCGAATATATCGAATCGATCAAAAAGAAAATATCTCCAGAAATCGGAGAACTCTACAGGATCAGACACCAAATCACTTCGAAATACTTGAAATATATATATATATTTTTCCTTGGTTCATTCAGAATTTCAATACTTGATTTCAGTTTGGGGTACAGCTAGATTATCAATTATAAAGCCAAAATCCTTCAAAACAAAGTTATTGAATGTATATACAAACTAGATTACTTGGAACCAACAAGTAATCCTTATAAACCTAGGCGATCGTTAGATTCAAACCCCATTTACGAATTCAAAATATTGAATTTTATCCATTCCGTCAGATATAATTATAAACATTCAAATGTGAAGTTTGAAGTCAATATACATAAACACGAACACATAACCAGACAAAAAGATATGTCAACTCTGATCAAAATCAAATGAGATATGGGTAAAAGATCTATTTTATCCAGTGGAACAATTTCCTATCAAGAATCACCTGTCAGGCTGAGGAAAAAATTAGGTGTTGAGAAATTCAAAAGAAAAATAAATGAAAACTCGTGTCTTTGATTCTCTTATATCATACTGAATCAATTCAAAAACTCTTATTCAACAGTCCTCAGAAGAAACGAGATTATGTATATGATTCAGAAATGATTATCTAATTATCTTATTTCACATTTTTTATTTGCTCTGTCATGATTTTTCCTGGTATAAACATATATGTTCCTTGGGAATGATGAAGATTACCAAACAGTGATGTGGGTTTATTTCTGAATCATTCAATATTTCAAAAGCCAATGTAGTATATTTTTGTCGTAGTATCGACGTATATAGGTACCTTCAGGTACGAATATGCACGAAATTTATTGAGGTATCTATAGACGATTAATTGGAATTCGGAGACAACATTGCAACGCTCATTTTCATATCAGAAACGGTTTGCCTTATCGATGAACATTGAATGAAACTGTCTAGTTCAAATTCTCATCATGATACTTGCCGAACAAATCACCTCAGACTGCCTTTACCCTCAACCCTCGTTGAATACTGAGTATTATACAATGGTCCCAAAATGTATAACCACTCTACAAATTATTTGAAAACCGCGGATATCACTCGTTTCAGAAAAGTCGTGAATAATTATTTCTAAGTGAAAGACCGTACTATAGTCTGCAAGAACTGGATTGTGTTCAATTTCTTCATGTGTTAAAGAACTGTGATATTGATGATGATCTTTTCTTCATTTATATTTCAAAATAACATTTGGATTTCGTACCTATCATAATATGTGATGATCATTAGTATTTTTGTGTGTGTGAATGTTTGACACTATGTTTTCGAAATTCATAGATATATATTGATGTCAATCAATCAATCTATCGAAATCCCCTGCCTCCACAAATCTACATATCATTCTTCTATTTCCTGAACCTCATTCGATGGTCGCCAGCCTGAGTACACTGGCCCATTGTAGTCTACCTCAAGAGCTGCTCCGAGCATTAATTAACGAATCGAGCGGCCTTTTTTCTACTCTCTCGATCCCTGAAATATATTTTTATTCTGCATTTCTTTAATTAGTGTGAAACAAGTTGATCTAGCCGTGTGGTACCCTATGCTAGAGGCTAATGCTGTTTATACTGAGATGTCGGCTGTTCTCCCAGACCTCCTCAACGATACCATATAGGTGTCATTTATCCATCGTCACGGGTTTTCATCACTTGAATTAGGTTGCAAAAACCTTGTTTATCATTCCTTGATCACCCCATAAAGATATTCACATGTTACATCTTCTATGTTACTACACAGATGCCTACAAAATAATTCACATTCTCAGCGGTCGCTGCCTGTCCTCCCCGGACAACTTCATTGTGTGATTGGGCTCTAGAGAAGAAGAGAAAAATGAAATTTGGTGAGAGCTGAACGATCGTAAAGATTCAAAAATGAAATGAAAGAGAATATCATTGAAGACAATATGAAGTTTCTCGAATATCCGCGACTACGTTACCTTGTATCAAACATTTTCGTAACCACAAGCTCTAGAGGGGACAAAAAGTTATGAAAATTATTGATTCATGTAGCAAAAAAATGCTAACAGATGAATTTCCAGTCGAATCCATAAGATTTAACCTTATATCTCGCGATTTTCTGAATTTACTGATCGGAATCTCATATATATCGTTGCTGACAAGTTAGAGATGAAAGTTAGTAGTGGGGAAGCAGCAAAGTAGAAGTTAAACTCATGCAAGTTCGTCCAAGCTCTCGGAAAGTTATATTTCCATCATCAGGGACAGACTACAAAATGTTATGAGAATTATAAACAGAGCTAGTTGACTAAGGAGTGCAGTACTTACAACTCATTGAGGTTGGTTACATTGATGTCACCAACACGGTATATGAAAATAAAAAAAATTCTGTATAACATATCTGGAACATGATA